GTCGGGCAGTAGGCGGGGGACACCCTGAACTGGTTGCCAGCCAATCGCAGGGCACACGGAAACGAACAACCATTCGCGCTCACAATCACCCCTTGGGATAATTTAGAGTGTTCTATCAGCCTGCCGTGCATGTTTTTGGAATGTGGGAGGAAACCGGAGTACCCGGAGAAAACCCACGCAGGTACGGGAAGAACATGCAAACTCCACACAGGAAGTCCAGATCCGGGATCGAACCCACGACCTCTGCACTGTGAGGTCAACGCACTAACCACTGGCCCACAAGATCATTTTCAGTTCATTTTTATTTTGTCTTGAATGGGATTTCCTAAACGGGGGCGCAATTGGGAGTCTCGGGCTGGAAAGATTTGGGAGAACAAACAAAAGATTGAATAGAGAACACTTGAAGTGAGTGCGGCCTCCACATACCGTGTGGAATGAAACCGATCCAAGCCAAGCTTCAAGTACACAAGAATCCAGGTCATTGAAGAGGGGACACAGTTTCTTATTGTGCCAAATCAATTCTCAGTAACATCTGTGCAATGTGGAAAAAGGCCTTACATAGGAAGTTTTCATGCCAAGGCCTTTTTTTTTTTTTTTTGAGAAGCAAGGGGCCTCTCTTTGACATGGCTCACACTGCTCCATCTTCCACTGAAGCTCGAGAAGATGGAATGAGTTATGTGTACATTTTTCAATTTTTCACATCCAGCCAGTGAGCTAATTCTGTGGGATCGAGAAACTGGGTGAGATCACTGCCCTGGTGCTTGTGATTTCGAGCAGATATCATTTGGAGCTGTTCGATTGTGTTGCACGGGTGATTTAACTCAATTTAACTCCCATCACATTCCTGTTATAATGTCATCGTTGGGTCCCGCCACTCCATCGGTAATGAAAACACTTCCGAGAAGTGAATATATATTCCATCCTGTCTCACCTGTTGTTGCTGTCGTGTGATCTGTCCGTCCACGGTCTCCTGCAAACTCCGGGAGGCGGGCAGGTGGGTAGTGGCGGAGGTGGAATGGAGGGCAAAGGAGGCAATGTCCTCTTGCCCTTACAGGAGCCGGGCCCTGAAATTGGGGTAGAAGGCGGCGTGTGGTGCTGGAAGGTTCTCTGAGGTTTTGGCAAAGGGTTAATAGACGGAGCGCCTGGCTCGCTGTATACGTTCTCTGGATCCCCCTCTCTCCTCCACCTCGAGCCAACAGGCCTAGACACGTCAAAAGTCCCAAAAATGGGTTCGTTAACACGCTTTTCTGTTTCGTCCAGCTCCTCTTTTGACGGTGGGCAGAAGTAATTCCCCGGAAACGCCAGTGACGTTCCACTCTGAACTTCTTTGGTCGCCTTTTCCAGTTTCTTAACGTGAGTTAAAACAGTTTTCTTGTCTTGGGGTTGCTCCGTTGCCTTAGTAGCCCGCAGTCCTCGCTCGAGAATGACTTCTTTGGCCTTGTTCGTTGGGCCTTCCGGAGATTTAGTCCTGACATCCCCGAGTTTTCCGACATTTTCCTTTCCTGAGTCTTGCCTCTCCCAGCTTACAAACCTCTTGCTGTTCGTCCGCTGGACCTGCGGAGGTTTCGAGTCCTTTTTTCTGACCGATTCAATTTCCTTCTGCGTTGTGCCGAGCGGACAAGCGTCCATAGAAATCGCTTGGCCGCTCTCCTTTTTGCCCTCCCACTGGGAGATTTTATCGCGGATACTTGCCGCCTTGACTCCTGCTTGGCCCTTATTCAGCTTTCCGCACTGTCCGTTCTCCACGTTGGGAGTCGTTGGTTCGCTGGCGCTGGCGGCTCTCCTGTGAGTCAGCATGCTGTCGGGGGGACCGGGAGAGTCCCGCGGGCTGATTGGTGGAGAGACGGGACGAATGGGGGGCACAGCGGTGTCCCTCTTGTGTCTGTCCCCTGGTAGCCCGCACAGCTCTTGGCGCCGCGGCACCACAGACGACGGAGTCTCCCCAATTTTCAAGCCGCAGCACTGGAGTCTGGAAAATCGACAGAAATATGAATGAACATCATTCGAGTCCTGCAAGATGTGGTGTTGCTGGTAAAAGCCCTGAAAAGGTGATTTAGGTTGCCAGAATAACAATAAAGGTTGAAATTTCAATAAAGGCTTCAATATCCCATGCCTGGGACTTGTTCAAATTTAGACACAATCAGAGAAATACTTCTTGATTGTTTGAAAAGCCCTCATTTTTTGTCTTTGATCCAGGTTGTTCGTATTCCACTTGAGTCGTCTGTTCATGTTTTTCAAGAGTGCTTTAATCACGAATCAAACAAATGGGACAGTAAACATGCTGTTCCCACAATGCCCCAAGATAAAAGCCACTCGCTGGATGTCATTCGCAATCACACAAAGGCTTACTCAGCTCGCCGCCGCAATGCGGAGACTCCAAAGAGCCACGCGAGCGCCAACAAAAGTAGCATTTTCCTTCAGATTTTTATTGCGCCTCATATTTTAACAAGCCGTAATAGCATAACCATCTCTCAGTGGATTCAAAGACAAAATGTGCGTCTCCTTCGGGGATGAGTGAGTCATTACTTTTATTCGACCAAAAGAGGTTTGATGCAAGAGTAAGTTGAAAGGAGAGCAAAGACGGGGGGGAAATGATGTGGCGACGTGTCATCCAAAAACATCTACCGTAATAACTCGCAGCACATCGATGATGTCATGCCTGCTGTTCATTGCTCACTGCAATGAATTTGCTGCAGTGTGTTAACAGGCATGAATTTGTCACCGAATCGCTTCTCAAATATCAACTGTTACATAACATTTACACGGAAAACATTTTGTTGAATTTATTCCATTTTGTTTTGGGGGTTTTTTTGGTCGAGTTGCACGGAACAAAATCATCTGGATACAGATCCATTTTTCAAGTCGACTATATATCTACTTAAAAAAATGCATCTGGATAAAATAAATAACACTGAGGAAAATCAATACTTTTTTTTTTCAGTGGAGGTCATCCGGAGTGACTTTGCTCTAGATGTGCTAATGTGACGTTTATCCCAAACATCGGAGACACGGTATCAGTGTCAGATCGGTATCGCAGATACCAGCTTGACTTTTTACTCAATATCGGACTAGAAAGGAAGTCATGGCCTCGAACATCGCGACCCTCACTCATAGAAGAGCAAAATCAACTTAACCTCTGCTCATTGTAAAAACAATAACAACAAGTCTTAAAAAGACGCATTCCAAAAGCGTGAGGCACGTTTTGATGATTTGGCGTTCAAATGCAAGAAGTTAACTCTAGTTCAAAATAAAAATGTCAAATCAGTCAGACAAAACTGACAACCAAGGATGACGTCTATTCTTCTCGACTGGCATGTGCTCTCTCACCACCCCCTTGTTGAGGCCGTTTCTTTTGGAAGCGTTGCGCAAAAAAAGAAATCATAAAATCCAAAGAACAAGCCAAAAGGCGCAGCTATTCCTTTAAACCCCGACATACGCTGACGTCCAACATTACGTGCGACTTTGGAAGTGCCTTTCCAGTCTTTTCCTTTCTTAAGGAACACAGCGCACTATTTGTCAGCACTGTACTAATCTCTTGAATGTTTTTGCGTGCGTGCAGTGCACATGTGGCTTTGCATCGGTCTCCCAGGAATGTGTCGGGAGACGCATACTGATGACACTCGCTTTCCACTCCATCTGGAAACACTGACAGACATGAAGACATTACAAGGAGGCCCGCCCGAAGGGATGTGGCCGTCCACATTGTCTACCTGCAGAATATCATAAAGTGCAATTTTTTTCAATTTTTTTTTTTGGGGGGGGGGGGGGGGGGCAAAAAACAAACAAA